TAATGAGAGTATCCCACGCTTGCTTGGCAGATTCACATCCTTGTATGATCTTGAACTGCTCAACATCTACTGATGAGAATATTACAGTTAGGGCTTTGGAGTTGAATTTTGATGCTTTCTTCTCACCATCAGTCCACTGATTTTTAGGTTTTGGACCGACAGTCTTATCTTCGAGGATGACAGTGGGCGCACTCCAACCGTCTTCTACAGACGTCCAAGCATCTTCATCAACTCCTCTGATGATGTGTTGCATCCTCACCTTCCAGTGACCGAAGTTGGTACTGTCAAGCATAATAGGCTTGTGTATGTGTAGGAGTTCTTTCATGGTGTCCATGAAATCCGCAGGATCTCAACCTGTTAGTAGTACTTGATACCACAGAGGTTTCCCGCTCTGATACCAAATGAAAGTTCAGAGACACGTAAATAAGAACCGTACACAAATTACTCAAGAACACTTCTTGTATATTAGAAACCTTTTAAACAATCTTCCTAGATCTGTTTAATCCGATTTAAGCTCAGTCACACACGACTAGCGACGGACCAGTTCCTAATCTCTAAGTTACAGAAACCCAAGCCAAACCCCTGTTTTCTCGATCTCTGTAGCCGACAAGAACAATCCTCTTGCTCTAGCTTTTTCCTCTCTTAACGTCTAACCTAAAACTCTCCTAGGTTGCCTCGTTAAGTAGGCATGAAAAAGGCAATATTCTACTTCCTACAATATCGCCAGACAGAAGATCTTCTTTGCTTCGCACCCAAGCAATATCTTCTATTTCCATAAGTTTGTGCCACGTCATTATACGTACCAAACTTATTGCACTGTGTTACACAATCATCGCACTGTGTAACACACTCTTATCTTAAACGGAACAAGCTCACAATCCTTGAGCTTACAGAGGACTGTTTGCTGCTCTGCATAGTTTTCATTCTTCTATGTAATATGTAGAAATGCTTCTTTGCAGATGTAGCTATAGTTATAGACCCTATGTTAACTTTGTTATGAGTTATTTATTGAAATGAACCTCTTTGTCTTGGAGTTTAGGGCAACAACATCTTGGGATTACGTGACAAATGGTTACAACCTACAACTCGCCATTTACGTTACATGTCCCACGCAGACGGTAGATCAGCTCATGTTAGAAATGGTGTTTTATTAGGTTTTGACGAATTAACGATCACATGTGGGGGTGTAGCTCATATGGTAGAGCGCTCGCTTCGCATGCGAGAGGCACGGGGTTCGATTCCCCGCACCTCCATTTTTTAAAAGCAATTTTGCTTATTCGCTCATTGTTTTGGACTTTTAATGGGGGTCTGAGTTGCTTACCTTTGGCATTGGACATGCTACTAAACTCAAGAAATTGTCTTCTTGGACTGGAATGGAATACGTTTGATCTCATGATTAGCTTTTACTTCACTGTGTTTCCAGCTTGTGTTTTCATCATCAGCTACTGTCTATGCCTGGCCAAAGAGGTACCATGTACACAGATTACATTCATTTCATTGATTTAGTAGATGCACATATAGCTGCTCTGCGCAACCTAGATGATGTCGAAATCAGAAAGGGTTCTCTTCAGACTCCTCTCATTATGATTTGCCATTGAATCCACGTCCAATCTGAATATTCATTGGGAAATGGTCAGATTGTGAGGTATGCAATCGTGGATCTGTCCAAGAAATTGTAACTGTGATGTATTCAGGCGCCCAAAAAATAACATATTGGCAAACTGTGATGTTTAATATTTATGGGCTTTTTAAGTCTAAAATTTATTAGTCTTGTGAATGCCCAAGAGTAGTTTAAGCATAAATTACTTTTCTATCAAATTTTACAAAACTTACACCTTCAGAGTAAGTTAAAAACACAAGGTCGATCCCGATCTATGCAGTCTTGCATTTGTTTCTTCCCAAATTTCGTAAACTATCACTTGTTTGTATGCGCTGACAAATAATACTTAATTTGTTTTCTTTTTCTTTTCAAAAATACAATTTGAGTAATAGTTTTCAATACCTTAATTATCCATATCCATCTCTATACTCGCTATTCTACATTTTACCTAAATGAAAAGGCCTAGCTAGCTAGCTAGCTCCAAAAAGAGATACTGTTAGTAAAAGTTGATTATGTTGCTGGTTTGCATTTTAATGGCAACTAGTTAAGGGTGCTGGTTTGTCCACATGAGGTGACATGGACCGCACTTTCAAAGATGCTATCTACGCACATCGTCGGATACTTACGTAAATCCAACGGCTCAGATTCGGTGGACCTTTTCTTCGGCAAGAATAATCACAGAAGCCATGCGCATGAGGAAACATGGGACCCCAACTTCACCGCCCACAAGTCGTAATAACCGTTCACTAATCGTCCCCGGTCAACTAAAGTTACAACACTTGTTATCATCTCATACGCCCGATGTGTTGTCTACGATTACTGCTTCAAAAACTGAAGATTAACTAACAAATACTTCTAAAGTATAAGATGTTTCAAGTAAGAATATATAAACATATAAAAAGTTAAGTTTTATATAAAAAGTATCAGTACAACTATAAACTAAAAATTACTCAACCAGTTATAAAATATAATTTATTTAAATTTGCTTAAAAATATTTTACAAATTGAAACATGAAAAATTCTTTTAAAACATTTTACATTTTGGTACAGAAAATCTAAGGCATAGGATTCACTTGCGCAATTTCCATGCATTCGGTGTTGGTTATTATTTTATAGTCTCGTTAATATACATAATGTACTTTTGGTAAACTTCATTGATGTTGGTGATAAGAGGGAAGAAGAAGATAACTAATAAGGGAGCATGACACATGGAGTGAAGGAAATTAGGTGTTACTGAGCTGTGTACACTAAGATAGCTCACGTTCTGATGACACATAGGCCATGTTGAATTAATTGGATACACCGTAATGATTAACATTCATGGGGAAATACATGAGTAGATCCTGACCGTCCACAAATCAGCTTAAAATCGTGGGATACAGGTAACTACAACCTAATCGGAATCTTTATACACACATGAAAGACGGATAAGTGAGCTTTTTTAATCTGGAGGTTGGAGCATGTGGACCTTTGAGGGTGCGTTTGGCTCTCTCTTCTTAACATTTTTACACATAATATTTGTTCGTGTAGTAGATAAGTGTCAAGAAATATGTTATATAAAAATATATATGTTATATGAAATGTGTTCATTTTGTTTTGATTTAATAATAAAGAGATCGACCAATTAAGTCAGAATAGAAATTGGTTTATCGTCAATGGAAGGTCAACTTTTTATGTACTTGGTTTTTTCGTCCGTACGAACATATATGATCTACTACTAAACACACTTTATTTCGTGAAAAAGTTTATACTTTACATAGCTTTTGGACAACTTGTTGTATTTTCTTTCATCTGATAAGTGTTTCATAAAGATAATATTCCTAACAAGATAGTTAAAAAGAGTGACTTGATTTTGTCTTCAGAAAGATAAAGTATTGATTTTACGTTCAGTTATGCGATGATGCAGAGCATACTAGTTGTGTTGATATGTTGTACTTGTAAAGTAATATGCTACGTATTGCTAGATGTAATAAACAGATGTTCATGCTAAAGTAAACGTTCGTGCTTCAGCAATCAAGATCTACTAATTCAACTTTATTTGAGAGATGTGCATATATCAACATGCTATTACAAACATGTTTAATAAACTCAAATAAATTCGGAATAGATGCATACTGATTACTGATTATATTTTTCATCAAATATTTCAAAACCTTTATTGTCTGATAACTTTCTAAATACCATAATAAATAAATTTTGGGTAAAGAACCCACTTTCCGCCATTTTACTATGAAAAGAGCAGTAGTCGACTTTTGAAACAAAAGAATAAAATTATCCACTTCTAAGCTCAGGCATTCAAATCAAACAGGAAACTTTGATGTATGTATATTGGAATTTAAATGTAAGCTCAATTAAAATTTTGTGTACGTTAAGACTTAGATATCCAATACCTAACTTATGACCAAAAATTAAATCCGATTAAGATGCATCTTATTTTCAAGTATCATATCCAACTAACATATGTATATATATATATATATATATATATATATATATATATATATATATATATATATATATTACATATGTTTATATCTTTTTCACATTAATCCGTCCACTAATTTCTAAGTATTTGTCACATTAATCCTTCTACTAATTTTAAGTAACGTTACAGAGTTCCTTGGCAATATATAACCCTTTACATACATGCACATACTACATAGATGCGTATTAAAGTATTTGTTTATTTTCAGTACGACAAAGATTCCCACTCAGAATGTTTTAGTGATCTTTTATTATACAACTCTCTCTCTCTCTCTCTCTAATAAAGCAAATGTGATTCAGACAAAAGCATACAAAGAACTGCATTCAAAAAAGTTTTCTCAGCCATCAAATTTTCCTCTCTTCATCCAACAAGAACACAGAGATTCTGTTTCCTTACAAATCTAGTGTCAAACTAAGAAAAAAAAGATATCAGGTTTTGTTTCTGCTGATTTAAGGAAACTCATCCATGGATACGGCTCAATGGCCACAGGTATACACACAAACAACTCAATATGTATGTGTTGATGTAGATTAGATCAGTTGATTCATCTTACCCGCAGTACTTGATCTAACTTAGAGTTTAATTAATGTTTTCGGATCTTCGTCGTTTGATGTTTCTCTTCTCTTCAACAGGTTTTACATATTAAATATATGTATTTTTTCCACTTTACCCTTTATTAATTTGCTTTTTCTTTTATGCTTTTCTGGTTACAGTTTTTTCTCAAATTTCCAATCATTTATGTCTTGATGAAAAACCATTTATTGTTCATAATTAAACAATATATGTTAATTATATTCTTACATACATAAGTCTATGTTGTGTGCTAATAGTAAGAGCTGCTTTTGTGATTTTGATGATCAGGAGATTGTAGTGAAGCCCTTGGAAGAAATAGTAACAAACACATGCCCAACGCCGCAAGCGTCACAGCCGCACCCACCACCATCGGTTGGGGCCGCGGGTGGAGCCGAGAGGAAGACACGGCCAGAGAAAGACCAAGCTATAAACTGTCCAAGATGTAACTCAGTCAACACAAAGTTTTGTTACTACAACAATTATAGCTTGACGCAGCCAAGATTCTTCTGCAAAGGTTGTCGAAGGTATTGGACCGAAGGTGGTTCGCTTAGGAACATCCCTGTTGGTGGTGGCTCAAGAAAGAACAAGAGATCTCACTCTTCTTCAGCTTCTTCTTCTTCTGATATTAATAAAAATCACTCCGATTCTACACAACCAGCTACAAAGAAACATCACTCTGATCATCATCATCACCACCACCTCATGAGCATATCTCAACAAGGGTTGACTGGTCAAAACCCTAAAATCTTTGAGACGACTCAACAAGATCTCAATTTAGGTTTTTCATCACATGGGTTGATCAGAACCAACTTCACCGACCTCATCCACAACATTGGAAACAACAACACGAGCACTAACAATCCATTTCTTGGTTCTTCATGTTCTGCCACGTCAGCTCTGGCAACTTCCCCTCTGGATCTCATAAGAAACAACAATGGTAATAATAGGATTACTTCGAATTCTTCATTCATGGGGTTTCCAGTTCATAATCAAGGTCCAACATCTGAAGGATTTTCAATGCAAGATCATTACAAGCCTAGTAACTCAAACACCACACTGCTAGGATTTTCATTAGATCATCATCATGATAATAGTGGATTCCACGGAGGATTTCAAGGAGAAGATGGTGATGATGTCAATGGAAGGCACTTGTTTCCTTTTGAAGATTTGAAGTTGCCAGTTTCTACTTCATCAGCAACAATTAATGTCGACGCTAATGATCATCAGAAGCGAGCAAGTGGTGGAGATGCAGCTGCAACTTCTGGTGGATATTGGACTGGGATGTTGAGTGGAGGATCATGGTGCTAATTTTTCTCAGTTTGATGATGAAAATAGTACTATCATTAATGGTTAATTATTGCTATTTATTTAATTAATCAATATGTTCTCAATTTCACTTTGATGTTCTTATTGGTGGGTTTTCTTCTCTTATTTTTATTGTTTTTGGGGTTAATTTGGATGTAAGACATTATTGGGGGTGCATGCATATTGAATGCATTTTTTTCTGAGTTTTGTTATTGCTCATTAACACAGGTTATAAATGACACATTGGCTGGTCTTTTGATGTTCCTTCTCTTTTTTTTTTTTGTTTGATGTTCATTTTCTTGTTGTTTCTATTTTCATTTTTTTTAGACTAATAATTTAAGACGTTATATATAATTAAATAAATGCACACACATTTTGTATTTATAGTGTGTGATTGATTATCGGCAGCAGCATACTATGTCTTGTTTATTTGGTCATGCAACGCATGGATGTCATTCAGTTATAAAAATGCACATAATAAATAAAAAATCATGAGAAATTAAATTATAAGAGACAGGTAAGCTCTGATGACTTTCACATGTTCTTCACTAAATACACTTATTTATAATCAATCGCCAAAGACAAAGCCCTACCATCCCAACTAATTATAAAACCATGATGATAATCCATTTAATTACTAAGTTCGTCCCGGAAAACAAAAACAATTGATTGGAGTAGTTTAACAATAGCTGGTACCTAATTAACTTGATGCGTTTTGATTGTTTTACGAGATGCTAAAGTTTGGAAAATGTTCATTTCATGCACTTGTTCTAAATTGCTTTTATTAGGAAAACACTCCGAAATGTACTAAAGTATGGTTAGGTTTTCGATGTGTTAGACAAGAGGCAACTAATAAATTACAAAAATTAAATTGAGGAGAGGAAGAATAATGTGATGAGTATGCAACAACTGGGACTTCGAAGGTGGGGCCCATCAAAACATTCTCCTTGAAATCTGTGTGCGTTGAAATTATTCATCCCACTATGATTTCCGCTCCATCAATCCAGATCTTGACCCTTTGTCTGTTTTTTTTTTCTTTTTTTTTTCCATTTCTTTATACCTGCTTATACTGAAACATACAAGTATTTTATTACTAGAAACTGTAATTTTACAATTTCAAGATTAAATTTAAAAAGTGACAAGAAATATGAACATATATTTCAGCAGCTTATTTTTTTCTACACAAGAGAGTTTTTAGTCGCACTAGTATCACTGTTACTTTTCCGAGAGATAGTCTCACTATAAGTTCTGTTGACATTAAAGAAAAAAACGTTTTGTTGACATCCGATTAATTCGAAATTCCACGGTAAAAAGAAAGTAAGAGTACTGGAACTTTTATGTTAAACAAGCCTCGGTCAAACGACACTGAAATATACGCAATATATTTCATTTATATATACTAGATCCTTTCTCCGCGCTACGCGCGGAATATATCTTTTGAATCTATTTTTTATTATTTTTTCAATTTAAAAATGTATAATTCTGACTCTAATTAATCTTATGTTAGCGGAAAAAAGTAAATCATATTATATATATATAAGTCTTGTGATGTCATTTGTACTCGGAAGATCGTACTCTTTCCCTTTTCCTTTATA